CGGTGGCCAAAACCGACCGTGATTTAAAAAAGAAAAATTTGAGGGAGGGAGGGAGGGAAAATCCCAAAAACTTCGGGGCTTAGGTCTTCGCCGGAGAGGATAATCGGAATGGAGAGAATCCACGTCTCAGTGAGGGCTCGACCGTTATCTCCGGAGGACGCGAAGACGAGTCCATGGAAGATCTCCGACAACTCCATTTTCACTCCCTCTAATCCTTCTTCTTCGTTTGAATTTGGTAAGACTGAGTTTGCTCCATTCTGTTTCTCTCCTTTTCTTTCTTCGGTCTCTGAGTCACTCTCTTCTATTTCTTGTTTATGGGTTTCCTTTCGGGGTGTTTAGATCGAATTTTCGGAGAAGATAGCAAAACTGTAGAGGTTTATGAGGGGCGCACGAAGGAGCTTGTTGCTGCTGCTGTTCGTGGATTCAACGGTAATATCAAATTTTCGTGAGAATTTGAGTTAGTGATCATTTCGTTTTCGTTTTTTCGCGACGGGCTTTGCCAATTTGCCTAGTTGAAGGTAAATGCGAGTGAATAGGTAAAAGCTGAGAGAAAACAGTGGGAATAGTGCCTCTCTGTTGAGTTGTGGGCTTTTGGAAACAATTTTAGCTAAGTCTCGATTCTTAAACAAGTTATCAACCCCAAGACTGGGAATGCTTTACATTTCATTTCATCTGCTGGATTGGAAATTCTTCATTTTCTTCTATTTCATTTGATGTTGAAGAGGTTCGAGAGACTAGTTTGCAAGTGTTTTGAGCTTATTTTATCTCCTTGGTTTGTTGTACTTTTCTTCAACTTATCTCCTTTGTCTCCTCATCGCGTATATGTTTCCTTTGCAGGCACTGTGTTTGCTTATGGGCAAACTAGCAGTGGCAAGACGCATACGATGCGAGGCTCACCTAATGAACCCGGCGTCATCCCTCTCGCTGTACATGATCTATTTGACATCATACTTCAGGTGCATTTTGGTCCTATTTCTTATCATATCCACCCATCTTATGCATTGGATATTTTAACTACGTTTCACCAACAGTTTTCTCTAGATCTTTTGTCATATTTCTGTTGAGTTATTGGGTAAAAAGGCTATCTGTTTTTTCCGGATTTAAGGATGTGGACAGAGAGTTTCTATTGAGGATGTCTTACTTGGAGATCTATAATGAAGATATCAATGACTTGTTGGCTCCTGAACACCGAAAACTGCAGATTCATGAAAATTTAGAGGTACGAATACATATTTCCATTGCATAATCTAAGATTTTCATTCTCTTTACAGGTTGAGGGTCATTTTTTTCTTTTTATTTCCATTTTTTAATTTTTATTTAGAGAGGAATATATGTAGCCGGGTTACGAGAAGAAATTGTGGCTTCTCCTGATCAAGTCCTCGAACTTATGGAATTTGGAGAAGGTATTTTCTGCTTTTTCTTCTGAAATTTGGTTTACACATTAACACACGATGCTCTCTTATGCGAGAAGAAAAACTATTTACAACCTTGAGACATGTTAAAAATTTAACTTTCAATTCTCTGTTATAGTTATTTTTTTCCTACTTTCTCTGTTATATTTCTTAAGCACATCTTTGAGTGCTATAACATGTACGCATGCAATTGTATGTGGTTTGTAATTTTAAATCTTCAATTAGTTTAGTGATATGATCTTCTATTTATATCTAGATGTTGTTCATTTACTCTTCTCATCTGTTTCTGCTTTTAAATTTCAGCTCATAGGCATATTGGTCAGACAAATATGAATCTGTACAGTAGCAGGTCGCACACTATTTTCCGCATGGTAAAAACCTATACCTTCTTATTTTACTGCTAAGATTTATGTGGATTTTTTCCTAATTGGCAATTTCTTTTATCAAACAGATTATAGAGAGTCGAGAGAAAACACAAGGTGTGGACACTGGAAATGCTTGTGATGCAGTCCGTGTTTCTGTCTTGGTATCGTCTGAACTAGTACTTATTCCCTCTGTACATACTTGTTCGATAATTAGATTTTTATGTTCTCGTTTCATCTGTGATTCTATTCATAGAATTTAGTAGATCTAGCCGGTTCAGAACGAGCCTCAAAAACTGGTGCAGAAGGTGTCAGGCTAAAGGAGGGTTCCCATATCAATAAAAGCTTAATGACATTGGGAACTGTAATTAAAAAGCTAAGCGAAGGAGTTGAAAACCAAGGGCAAGTTTTCTAGATTTTTTATTACTTAAAAACACCAATTTAGGTAATGAAAGGACACCTCTACAAATTATATTAACGTTTTTTTTTCTGTTCTGAAATCAGTGGACATGTTCCATATCGAGACAGCAAACTTACACGGATTTTACAGCCTGCTTTGGGTGGCAATGCAAACACAGCTATCATATGCAATATCACACTTGCACAGGTGTGGATTAATTAACCATTTATGAATCTGTTATTGTACTGAGTTTTATAGTGTATTAACTGCTTGTCGAATTTGGATAATGTAGTCTTTGACCTCTTGTAATAAACATGTGAATAGACGGAAATGCATCAACGTCGATTGGTTGTCAAACTTGTTGATTACCGGCTCACTGATGTTAAGTCTGTCATGTTGGAACAAACTAACGGCTTGGGTCTTTATTAGAATTAGAAATAGCTTTGCACGTTTTATTATCCTGTCTGAAGTTTTAATTAGGTATATGCTCTCTCGTTTTAGCGTAGGATCGATTGCTTGTCATTATTTGTTGCTCTTTTATTTTATGTAGAGGTTGACTCGGTATCCTCTTGTTTCTTTTGATGTTGCTTTAGTAATTATTTGTTACTATTTACCATTGCATGTTTGATTCTAGATTCATGCTGATGAAACTAAGAGCAGTCTTCAGTTTGCAAGTCGAGCATTACGTGTCACCAATTGTGCCAGGGTCAATGAGGTGGTGCCCAAACTATTTTGCATCCTCTCTCTCCTTTTGTGTTAACATATATCTTACGTTAGTTTCTCCTATAAGATGTGTCTTAATGTTTGTTGAACTAGGAATCTATTACCCAAGAGTTTATTTATGCGTTTGTTCTCTTTGCAGATATTGACAGATGCTGCTCTTCTAAAGCGACAAAAGAAGGAGATAGAGGAGCTTAGATCCAAGCTACAGGTTGTTTAATTATAATAATGTTCTCATTCAACATTGTCTTCCGTTATGTATTTCTTATGGGTTATATATCAACTTTGTGATTGTATCATTGTAGGCTTCTCAGTGCGAGCATTTGGAAGAAGAGATTCTGAATTTACGTAACACCTTGTTGAAGGCATGATATTTCGTTATTGAATCTTTATTTGTTTAGCCTTCAGTATATTCATGAGGCTAGTATGTTCATGATAGACTGAATTAGAGAGGGAGCGAATCGCACTCGAGCTGGAAGAAGAGAAGAAGGCACAAGTGCAGAGGGAAAAAGTTTTGAAGGAGCAAGCAAAGAAGATTGAGAATTTGAGTTCTATGGTTCTTCTTTCGAATAGAGATGAGAAGCGTGAGCGTGATCACTTCAAGGTGTGTTTTGTTTTATTACTTTCAACCAGTGATTGTTAATTGTTATTTCGTAGTATCCCATTTGATGTTGTGTGTTTCTTACTGTAAAATCAACCTCCGTATCTCTTTCAAGAGGTTAAGACTTAAAATTATAAGTAAAAAAGATATATTACATGTCTACGTGATTTGTAGTATACTTCTTAAAGCATTTCTTCCAAGAACTAAACAGCAAAGAGCTTCACTAGTAAGTTTGAACTCTATCCTAATAAATTCTTGTTGGAGGTTGTTGTTGTTCTGTCATGCTCATGATTGTATCAAATGATATTTGGCTATCCTTGTTAAAAAGGTTCCTTTGGTAGGCTTTTTTCTCTAAGCATTTGTACACTATCACCCGTTTTGGCCCTTTTGGGATTTGATTAAGTTGCTGGTTTTTTTTTTTTTTTTTTTTTTTTTTGCAGGGGAAGAGAAGGGACACATGGTGTCTGGGGAAACTGCCACGGGACTCCCCAACCAAGGTAGTTTCTTATACAAATGCCTAACAAATTTGAGCGACTATTAGCTTTGCAGCCATAGAATATTCACGTGATTAAGATGCATTTGATTGCCCTTCAGGTGGACCCTAATATTCTGCCCAGAGGTTCCTCTCTTAAATCAGAGAGACCTGAGCGTGGTACATGCACACTTCTTCCTTTTGATGAGTTAGTAAATGAAAATGAACCTGAAGATAAACCTGGCAACCAAGATGAGGGGAGTGTTGGCAAAGTTTCTGAAGATTGTGCACTTCCAGATCCATGCAATTTAGTACATGTGACAAGCAGAAAAAAACTTTCGGTCAAGCATAAAAGCCCTACAATCACTAGTGTGGTTGGTGCTCCTCTTTTATCTGTATTTTGTGCTGAGATTTTCCAACACTAACATTTTGTTGATGCTTTAAAAAGGACAACCCAGTTCGTATCTCCATCTAGTGGGGTGCTGGGGAAGGGAATATACTAGGCCACCTTACCCCTACATTTATTGATGCTTTATAGGATCAAATTGAGCTAGACAAAATTCAAAAGGAGTATGAAGACCTCCTAATGAAATATGAAACAGAGGTAATTATTTCATCTTTCTCAATTTCACCTGTTAACAATCTTAAGGTCTTATTTTCTTTCATCCTATATGCAGAGAACCATCAACGAAGTACAAATTGAATGCCTCAAGAGGAAATTGGATGAAGCTTGTTTATCTCATGAAACGAAATGCAGTGTCCAATCAGAATGTCAGGTCAACGGGCTTATGCTTCCAGGTGAAAATATTGTGAGCTTAAGGGATTCAGAGGCTATTCTTATTATCAAGCAACTCCAAGAGAAGGTACATTTCTTCTTCTTTAACCCACAGCTACAGTTTTCGTCCTTTTCCCATCTAATTATCGTTTCCTTCCCATCTTTTTTGGAATTTTGTTTATTCTTGATATGTACGATTTTATGGATCATGAAGTTGGAAATGGAAAAGGCTTCGAGCCAGCAAAACCTTGACGATCTAGTCAGGATTGCTACTGAACAGAATATATGTGCCAAAGAGAAGCTTATTGAGGTATTTGGGATTCTTTAGTTGTTTCTAACTTTGATGTTTCTTTTCGAGTCACCTCATATGCCATTGTGGTTAGTGTAGTATATCAACTGATGTGATTAAGAAATTCTGTTGGAAAACGTTCAGATTGTGCTGTGAGAATTGTCAGATCATTTTAGTTGTTGATTTCACATGCTTAAATATGTGGTTACACAAGGCAATAATTGGGATTCACAGATATTCTTGACGAAGGGCCTAAATCAAAATTTGTTGAATGCAAATATGATGAACTAGATCTTAAATTGTAATGGACATTTTTCTCTTCTTTGTGTGATCCCTTGAGCTTGTATGCCTTTGCTCAACAAATTAAACAAATCGGTTTTCCACTCAATTTTCTGGACTAGTTATTAGGAACTTTTCTGGAATTGTATCATTGTTTCTGAATTTGCTTCTGTTGTATGAAATTCATAGCTTCAAGAAGAGATTCTTGTTGCTAAAGAGGAGGCACGGGTCGCTCGTGAGCAACTTATGTCCAAGGAGTCTGAAGTTGCAATTGATGTGTGTAATGTTAATTTCATTTTAATAATTTCGATTACTTTCTAAATCTTACATCAAATTATTATAACTGTCACAGGTATCAGATATAGCCTTATGACTTTTGCTTTTTATGAAGGAGAATTTTAACTTTGTGATCAAGCTTTCCACTGAAGTTGAAGCACTAATGTCTGAATTTCAAACATCTCGAGCATCAGTGGAGAACATATCATCAGTTGTTGACGAAGTTCTTCAAGATTTTGCCACTTTCTCTCATGTTGGTATTCTGAGTTGATTGTTTTTCTCCCACACAGTCACACTCACACCGATCACATCTTGATTTTAAGTCTTATAATCTGCATTTGTTCATTAATTTTCAATTTGGGTCAATGGTTGAATATGCTTATGATTGTGTTCTTATAAGTTCAGAATGGTAATGCAGGAGTTCACATCTTTGATGCACCAGAGGTCCGTGCAAAAAGCTTCAGTTGTCAGCAGCTGTGAAAATATACAATCTTCTCTAAAGCATAAAATTTCTGAGCTTGAAGAAGAGAAGGTTTGGTTCTTTTCTTTTTGTCTTCGTTTAAATAGTCTTATTCATGAACATTGTTAACTAAAACCGTAGTCATTGTATTCAGCTTCATCTTCAAAATCAGTGTGCTGGTCTGCAGAACCAGATAGAAAAATTAAGTCAGGATTCTCAAAACCATGAAGCGTCCTTAATGGTATCTTGGTTTCCAAACTACATATCAGAGTTTCACTTTACTTACAATCTCTGAGCGTAGAGTAATTTTCGAGGCTGTTTAACTCTTTTGATAGATACTCTCAGAACAGCATGAGTCAGAGAGATCAGATTTCCTTTCTCATATTGAGTCTCTTGAGAAGGAAATGGCAAGTCTGTCATCCTCTTCTTTGGCTAAAGAAAAGGAGAATTTGAGAAAAGAGTTTGAGAAGACGAAAACCAAGCTGAAAGACACTGAATCCAAGCTTAGGAATGCCATGCAGGATAAAACTAAACTAGAGGTGTGCGGCAGGACCCAATAACTTACTTTGTAAGTTATAAGTTATAACACTATCTATAATCTGATAATTATCTCCTTACACTTGAACCTGAAGGGTGAGAAAGCTTCGGTTGAGAGAGAATTAAAGCGATTGCATAGCCAGAAGGCCCTCCTTGAGAGAGATATCAATAAGCAGGAGTCCCTTGCTGGTAAAAGACGTGATTCATTGGTTGTTGAGAGAAGTTCAAAGCAGCTATTGCAGGTATTATCAAAAGATTTCTGCGCAGCATTATTTTCTTTTAACCCAGTAATATTCATGGGCTTGTCCAAAAATTGCATGCAATAGTCCACTGCTAAATTGAAGGCTGATCAATTTGTAGGTGTTATGAAACTATTTGGTGATTGGGCTTTTCATTATCGTCCAGTGTTGTGTGAGCATGTTTGGATAAAGCTACGTAAATTTTGCTTTTTCTTAGTTGGTGGCCTACGCTATTTTGCATCTTGTTTATCAATGTAGAATCTCCACCAGTCTCTTGGCAGATATACTGTATCCTAAGCAAATTGCTCCATAAATTTTCTACTTTTGATGCCATCAGGAAGACTACAGAAAGCTTGAGGTTCTTGCTTTTGAAATGGAAACAACAATTGCTTCACTGGAAGAGGAACTGTCTGTTGCTCGTAGCGAAAAAGAGGAGGCACTTTGTAGGAATGAGGGTTTGACTTCAGAAATTGCGGCTTTGACAAAGGAATTGGAACACTCAAACTCCCAATTGGAAATTGTGCAGAAAGAGGTCTCAGAGCTTGTAAGTCTTTCTAATGTTATTGATCAATAATTCTTGATGCTGAAAGTGATTGGTCGATTTCCAGACACATGCCTTAAGCATCTAATCTCTTTTCAGAAAATCAAGCTTGAAGAGTCTTCTTCTGACAAGCAAAAATTGGAAGCCAAAGTTAAACTCTTGCTTGAAGAAAAGGAGGAGCTAGCAATGGTACGATCATTTAGATATCCTTATAGATACTGTTATATAAACCTATTTCTTCTTGTAAAGCTAGTATTTTTTTTCCTGTTTCTCTAGCGACTGGCTCACTCACTTTTGGAGATGGAAGAAGAGAAAGCTATATGGACTTCTAAAGAAAAAGCTTCAATAGAGACCATGGAGGAGAAGATCAGGTTATATAATGCAGAAATCTTGTCACTATCTGAAGAAATGTCAGAGGTAAGCTTTGAGTGTGGAATCTCTCAAAATGGCATTCTAAATCAAACTTTACTTGCATTTTAAATGAAAGCGTAATGCATGGCCTTGAGTTTTCTCAAACCACTTTGGACGTGAGCCTCTCAGAATTCTCATATTATTTAATTTTTATGCATAACCTCTCTTATGTGTTTGGTGTTAGAGGTCATGCTCTATAACAGAACTGATGATAATTGGGATTATGATGAAATCTGTCACATAACTATCAGTAGCATAAACTGCATATTAGAACTACCGTAAAAAATTTTGTAGTTGCTTATGGTGTTTCCGTACCTTTTTTATGCTTTCTATGAATTCTGTGAAGCAAAGTCTTCTTTTCTCAACTTTTGTTATGTATTTCTAAGTTTTCAATCCCTTTAACTTTTAGGCAAAGAAGGAGCTGGAATCTTGTAGAGGCGAATGTACTATCCTTGCAGATAGACTTAGGTGTTTCGAGGAGAATGCTAAGAAGGAAAAAGACCACAGGTTTGAACTCTTGGCTTTTCTTTTTTTAGCATCTTAAAGTTCGGCTTTGTTTTCCTCTGGAACCAGAGACAAGACCTAAACTCCGAAAATCCGAGATAGAAACATTAGCTCTGTTGAAAGCCTGTTATCATCCAGTGTATGACTGGTAAATAATAAAAATAACTCCAATGTAAGACGATTCCTTGGACTATGTCTTGCTGATCTTTTATATGATTTTTTTTTTCTTTTCTGGCCTTACAGATGGTCGTTGTTATGAACTCTTTAATCAGTGAAGCATTACAAGTATTTATATTAAGAATATTATGGAATTTGTCACTAAACACATCTTTCTAGTTATGCTACCTGACTTCTGTTTCCAATGATGTTTTTATCCTGTAGCATGGAGAAGTCCGTGGAGATTGATAGACTGAAGCATGAACTTCAATCAGCTAATGCTGAAAGTAAGCAATCTCAGGAGGTAATTCCCATTTCCTGTGTTCTGATTTAGAAGTTGCAATCACTTCTCTAAATGAGGAAAAAACTAAATTTATAATGATGGTGGTGACAGAATACATTCCTTTCCATGAAAGCAATAGAAAATTCTTGGTTTCGTATTTGCAAGTTACAGACTAAGAAAGATCCATAGTTTACAAGAATGTTATATGACAAGAAAACCATCACATATAATTGTTCTGTGCACCTTCAGGTTCTTAAGGCAGACCTTGATACACTAAATTTGGAACTTCAACGCACTCGCAAGAGGCTGAATATGCTTCAGAAAGAGCTGGACTGTGTCACGAGTAAACGAGATTCTCTGTTGGCTCGCATTGTGGAACTGAGCAGGCCAAATCAATTGCAGGTTTGATTCCTAGAATAAGTCATGATTCAAGTATGGAAAGTAATAACAATTACTTGTTATTTAGTATTCACCTTGAGGAAAACAAATATAAACTGTTTTTCAAGTGAAAGTTTCTTTTCTGTATAGCCTTGAGGGATTCCTCTAGTTATGGGTTGATAAGATCATCTATTTTATCATCTTCTCTTGCCATTGGCTCTATTTTAAAAATGAGATTTACTCAGTAATATGAATATTTACAGACTGTAGAAGCAAAAGATTCATCAGAGGATCTGGCTCAGAGACTCTCAAACCTAGAAGCCAAAATGTACAAGGTAAGTGTTCCTCGGCACATGCTCGCATGTCAGACGCAAAGGGTTAATGTTGGTCCAACGAGTTCAGTTTAAACATGCTTTCCCTTACCTTTAGGATAAAGTTCTCTAGTGCTATCACAGTGATTGAATTCGGCTTCTCGAAATCACTGTCACTAAGCCAACAAGTAAAATTTGTTTCGAAGAAGCAAATAAGAAATTTCTCCAACTTGATTAGCTTAAATCAGCATTTGCAGAACAAGGCCTGTTATTTTTGTGTTTCTTTTACCAGTTCACAACAATCTCGTTGGCTGATATGCATCATATGGTTATGGTAACAGGAAGAAGCCGGCAATAACATAATGAAGGCAAAGCTAAAAATGAGGCTAAGGGGGACACAAGCACGGCTAGAAGCGATCAATCTTAGATATAAGCAGTCAGTGGCAGATTCAGAACTTATGAACAGTAAGTTTCATGAAGCATCCGCAATCCTGAAAGAGAAATTAGCATCAAAGGCACTTGAAGTCATTGACCTCAAGAAGCAACTTGCTTCTTCTTCAAGAAATCATTAGTAAGTTTATCTGTAAACTCGTCCAACTTGATAGCTCAATTGGTGAAATGGAGACGCAAAGTGTTTGTTCTATCCCGAGTTCGAGCCTCAAATTGGGGAGAGGACCGTAATTTCAATCAGTTGGTTTGCTTATGACTACGTCTCGGTCCAAAACAACCGGTTATCCAAAAGAAAAGTTTCAGTCAACTCTCTTGATTGGAGCACTCTGTTTAGGGCTAGTGATGATAGTATATTAGTGAGTAGGTCAAGGATACCCCGGGGAATCAGGGGCATTTTGGTCCACTGAGCTTGGTCTCACCATTGTTGTATGTAGGCTTGTAACAACAATTTCCTTTTTCCTTTTAATTATACGTGTACGTGTATTTGTTCAAGCCCAAAAATCAGAACTTAAGACCCATCATTAAAGATTAACAGGCCTATTAGGCCCATCAAAATTTAGAAGAATACTGCTTCACTTATATGGGCCTTTATTGGGCCTATGGTGGGTTTGGGTTTTTAGAAATCATATGATTTATTATATTTATCACATATTAATTTATTTTTCCTTATGGTTTTTTTTTTAATCTTTTCCTTTTCCTTCTTTGTTTAGGAACTCATTAGCCTATATAAGGACCATTAATCATCCCACAAACTCAATTAATCACAAGCTCGTTCAGTTAATCACATTCCAAAGCTGACGTGTCAATCCTCCTCCACGCTCCGACACGCGCCACCACAAGCCGGTCGCACACCCGCCATGGACGTGACAGGTGTCCTCTCGACACCGCCCCAAAAACACAGCCCATGCTCTCAGGACAGTAGCAGCAACCAAAACCACGAAGCCTCTTCAATGTCGGATAACGTCCAAGATTCCGGAGACTATCCGGCGTGGGAAGTGCTCAGCCTCGCCGCCGATCATATGGACGGCGAAACCCTAGCCATGGCTTCCTGCGTCTCCAAGACATGGCGACTCTGTTTCTCCTCCGAGAATCTATGGCGGTCTCTGTTCGTGACCCATCACCCTTCTCTCTACTCCGCCATGACCAAGATGACGACTTCTTCTTCTTCTTCTTCGCCGGAGATTTCTTACCGGCGTCTCTGCTACGCCGCCGAGTCCGCTGCCAAACGCCGCCGCTCCGTCAGACAACCGGCGAAGCCCAAGATCACCCTGTCGGATCTGACGTTCATCGTACACGTGCGGAATAGTGATATGAATCTGACAATGGAAAAGCATGGCAAAGACATTGCCGTTCCATCAGACGGTTTATTCCGGTTCAACATCGACGTTACCAATCTCCATGGCTCGAACCTGTTCGCCGGCGACATGAAGGAGGCGAGGGTGACGTGGCACGTGGTTTACAGGGAATGGGAATCGGTTTTCACGATGACCGATGGCATCAGATCGCTGGAGAAGGAAAAGTGGTTTACCGATGAGCTTCCGCCGCCTGAATTCAGCATTTTCAGCCGTGGGAGCGGTTTAGCGGCCGACGTCGCTTTGGAGATAACCGGAGGAAACCAGTCGGTTAAGGTGGAGAAGATGGTTTTAGGGATTATGAACACCGTCGACTTGAGGTATCTGAACCTCGACGACGGTCTTAGATATCTTGAGCGGTTCCTTCTCGAACAAGGCAGAGAATGAACAGTTGCTTGTTGCTCAAGTAATCGTGTAATTTTTTTTTTTTTCCGATGGTGTTTTGCTTTCATCGCTGTCCGCTTACATTATCAAACCATATGTACCGTTTTCTTTTCACATCTATTTCTTCCGTTATAAATTTAGGATTTTGCAACAGAACCCAATTCGAAAGTTCCCTCCTTTTTGGAAACAGATTCTCAAAGGAGTGAAGATTTACCAAATTGAAAAAAAAAACTTATCATTTTAACGCCAAGAAAAAAACCCATGTTCCAGTTTCTTCTCAAAGTCAAGTCATCAGGACCGCAAGACTCGTACTTCTGACACGTGTTAGTTTCAGATTCTGACACCTCATCCTCGAAAATTTAGCTCTTTAACTCTTCTATCCATAACGCATTAAAAAAAAAAAAGGGGCGACAAAGGAGAAGCAAGGTCTGCAAAAAAGGAACGCGAACAATTGAGCTTTGGTACCTGCTTCTCTTTCTAGCTTCTGGTGATGATTCTCCGCTTGTTCTTTCTAATATTTGATCTGTGTTTTATTTTCGTGTTGAATTCTTTATTGAGTCGGGATTTATCAGTAGGTTTCGATGTCAATATGCTCTGCGATTTAGCCGAGTTGAACCCTAGTTCCGGGTTGTCTGTGCTCGATGAACACCAAGATTGTTGTTTCGTTTTCCAGAATCTCATTAGGGTTTAGAGATTTTCGATTTCGAACATCAGTGTGTGTCCACGATGAATGAAACCCACATCACAAAATTGAGGAATTTCTCTTGGGCTTAGCTTGATTATCGGATGATCATCTGTTCTTGATGTCGTACATACATATATATATGTATGTGTGTGTGTACTTGGAAAACTCTTTGTATCATTCGATTTTTGGTACTGAGTTCGTAATCCAATCCCCCAATACCGATAGATTCTTTAATGTTTCTTAATACACCTTTTTGGGTATTTCCTTTTTTCTTTGAGCAGTTGCAAGATTCTTGGAGAAACAGGAATCGCTTGACTGGAGAAAAGCCCTTTTTCACCAGGAGGGTCATTGTTCACACTCTCCGACTTCCATGGAGCATTCAGTTTCAGATATCTCAAATGGTACTGCCTCCAATGCCTCTAACCACTTCCATCTTTGATCTTGAATTTCGATTTCTCATCTTCCCGGGTTTCCTTCATAATTCTTCGTATGATCTGAATTGTTATACAACATGATGGAATCCTATTTCATGTTCCATGATTTGGTCTACATTTTCATACCCTTCTTCCTTGCAGATCGATGTTCTTCCTCTTTGGCCTATCTATGTTCATAACTTGTCGATGTTTCTTTTACTACAGAGGACAAAACAACAGAATCCAGTCTTCCCAAGACCATTGCAGAGCCACGGGTAATCTCTCCAGGGTCCAATGCCGGTGCAGGAGCCAAGAGAGAAATTTGGCAAAGCCATGGATTTCTCTTTAACGAAAAGAACCGTGATGACAGAGACCGACAACTTTCAGTGGAATTAAACATGGAAGCTTCCATTTTAGCAGAAGACGTAATACGGGCAGGTGGGTTCGGGGCTAAGGATGACATAAGCAGCTTTCTTCCAGTTGCAAGTGACTCAACCGACTTTGAGGAATCGATCCGTGTTGCTCGAGACTACGAGGAGGCACAAGGGGAGGTTCATAGGCCTGGTCTGGGTTGGCCTAAAGAGTAACAATATGGCTACAATTACAGACAACGTCCTGGACTTGAAAAACTGAGATAGGTGTTTTTAGTGTCTCTGAGCTGTGTAGTTCTGTTCTGTCTGATTTGAGAGAAAGATGTTTCTGACATGGAAAGTTCCATAAATGTTTTTCTGTCTCTCTCTGAAAAAAAAGAGTCTTCCGAAATGGGCTTTGCCCCCCTTTTCATCTCCTTCATAGATATCTGACAAAAAGCAAGAACAACACATTAATGTTATTGTTCATGAACAAGGTGATATATTCGTTTATCCTTTCGGTGTCACTCTTTGCAAGAACCAAAACTGACTCTTGCTAAGGTTAATGAGATCTGTGGGAGTACCAAATCCAAATCCAAATCCTGCGAGACACTGTACTTTAGAAGAACTCAGATCTGTAATTTTTTTTTTTATAAAAAGTTTAATACTTCAACAAATCTTTTGGTGAAAAAGAACTTCCAATTGTATTGATTTATGTTTTGATCTTTGTATAGTAGTTTTGGGACAGAGAGAATTTGATATTGTATATGAAAGCGTCTGAAAAATGCCGGATTTTTTTTTTTGCAAAATTGAATATTTTATTTGGGATTTTCCATTAAATATATATCCAAGCCCAGAAATTTCAGCATGACAAGCTGTGGAATCAGGAGCGTAAAAAGAAAGAAAAAAGGTGATAACTTTGTTATGTAAAATGAATTTCCTTTTGGGTTTATGCAGCAAGATCAGAAATTAAAGAAAATGAGTAGACAGATTCTTGAACGAATTTAGAAAGGCATTTTTTTTCTGAATAAGGGAAAATTTTCTGACTTTTTTTTCCGAATGAGGGAAAGTTTTCTCGTTGCCGGAAAAAGAAAGGCTTTTTAGGAAGAGAGACGATGGTTTCTCATTCAAGGTGGTGAAAAAAGACCTCCTTCCATATGGGTAATGGCGGCTGCTGAGGCGGAAAGGGGAACCCGTAAAACCCTAGATTTTGTGCGCTAGAAATGACATATCGTCGAGTTTTGTCGCTTTTCACGCAATACGTTGCAGCAGAACAGCCACAGAAGTTGCAGAGCCAGCGACCTAGAGAAACCCTTATCAGCTTAAGCTTCCATGGTTGGTTTTCTCCTTCCTTGCTCTCTCTTACGACTCTTTATACTATGTTGTGTTTGTGGATGTTTCTGCTAAAGATTTGTCATAGATGCCCATCGGAATTAGACACTAAGGAGGCAAGGAGCCGTCAGTTTTAGAGATTTTCGTGCTTTTTTGATGGTTGAATTGTCTGTTTGGTTGCCGAGAAAATCTGGAGAAAACTAGGGGTTAGTCTTGTTGGAAATTTCTTCGGTGCTTCAGCTTTGCTTAGTTCCCCCGCTTAAAGCTGCTATCGGGTTCTTTTTTCTTGTTTGTTGTCTCTCTCTTTGAGATCTGAGCATCATTTGACATATATCTAATAGCTATGAGAACATTATGGTTGGTAAAATCAGAGAAATTATCAGAGTTTCCTGAGAATTGTGTATTGTAGCCGAGATTTCGTGAAGGTTTGAATTTGACAATTCATGTGAGGTTTTTATTCATATTGCTATTGGTATGGCAACTTAAGGGACCTGTGAGATTGAATTTAGCAGTTTGCTGATAGTTTCCTCATTGCACCTCTGTTGGGTATTAACCTAAAACACCGATTGTATAATGTATGAACTCAATCTTACAACTTATCAGCATTATTTGGTTGTAGAGTTGACGATTCCTCAATGCAAGTTGATTCCAAAAGGTTTCTAAAGTGTGGAGCGGTAGCAGTTCCACACTTTTTTCGGAACAGACGATCATTCTTCGCTACAACAGGGTGGAGCTTTTACAGTTTGCCTACTGGCCCGGGGAATCGTGCATATTCTAAAAAGAGTAAGCTTACAGTTATGTATTGTATTTACATCTAATCACCAAACAAATAACAACAAAGATACCATTCATAGATTATGTCTTTTGATAAAGGAGTTACTTGCTGTTTCTCTGTTCTCAGAGGGTTTTTATGCTGTGTTGCAATTTGATCTGTGTAAATAATGCTCTGGGAAATGCATGCATATTACTGGTCTGAGTTTCCGTTTTAGTTTTTTTTTCCAATTTAAGCTAGCCTTTTGTTTAATATTGGCATCATAACTTAGTTGACTTCTGATTTTCGTATCAGTATGAGAAATGGCGAAGTATACATCATGCTTCTGTTTTGGCATCTATAGGTCTTAGATACACCACCAAATCGATACAAATGATTGAAAAAGTGAAGAGTGAGATGGATGTGAAGGAGGATTTCCCAGTATACCCAGCTTTATCTTCCTATGATGCCGCCATGGAAGCACTGTCATCTCTCATCACACGTCGAAACCGAGGTGACCCATCATCTACTACTGGTCGAAGTCATGACAAGTTGGCACGGGTTTCCATGTATCTCAAGGTGGTGTAATCTTTTATAGTAACCATTACTTTCGCCTGAGCTTCAACTAACCTTCTATATTTTGAAATATACTTGAGGTTTCTGGCATTAGAGGACGATAAGCTTCATTTTTTTAAGGCTTTACCATTGTTCTATTCCATGTCAGCACTGTCATTTCCTTTTTTTTGTTTCTCCTTACAGGAAAATCTTGTTTTTTTAATGTCACTTAATGCTGAAACTGTGTCTGTCTATTGATTTCTAATGTAACTATGGTATGCTGTACAGATTTTAGGTTTGGAAGAGAAAATAAAAGAACTAAAAATCATTCATGTCGCAGGGACGAAAGGGAAGGTACATTGCTTTTTTCTGTTTCACTATATAATGGGTAACTACAGGCTTGAGAACTTGAAACTTCTCTTTGAAGTTGTTTTTTTAGTGGAAGATCTGTTAGCACTAGATGCTATCTGGGTTGTGTTGTTTCCAAATACTATAGTTCACACTTTATAGAATAATTTCTATGGTTCGATGGAATTAACTTTGTTCTGTTTTAAGGTTATGTGCTTATGTCAAGTAGAATACTTTTTCTTAGTCTGTTTTTCTGAATGTGTATTTTCAGGGTTCAACATGTGTGTTCAGTGAGGCAATTTTACGAAACTGTGGTTTTCGAACTGGATTGTTTACGTCTCCTCACCTGATTGATGTGAGAGAGAGATTCCGGATAGATGGGTAAGTGCGAGATGCATAGTTTATGTCTACGGGCATTACACAAAAACCTCCTTCCATTCATGTTGTCCCTGATTCAGTTGCAATGAAATTGTATTATGTTATTTCTTTCCCATGTGAACCGACAGCTTTTGTGACGTTGTCTTGCTTTTTACCAGCCTGGACATATCCGAGGAAAAATTTCTGCAGTATTTCTGGGAGTGTTGGAATCTACTGAATGTAAAGCCCCTTGCTCATATATATTCGTGGTTCTACTGCAAGACGTGTTATTTGATGTAAATGTTTTGTATCCCTTTATTTAAAACATTCTACCACACAAATGACAGAGATGGTTTTGGTTCTCTGTGATACTTTCATATTTTTTGCATCTCTTTTGTTGCCTTTTAATCTTTTATACATAAGCAGAAGAAATCAGGAATCTCCTCCTCTATTCTCTAATGATTATTTGTCCCCTATTATTATGTAGGATATATTGGTTATATTCCTGTTTTTGTGTACAATTTTCTTTATTGTCATAGTAAATCACTACCATATTGATTGGTGTAATTTTTCCCTTTGGCTTTAGTGCTTCTATTTTCAGCGTGGGAGAAACGTCTCATCGTGAGTTTTTCATGTGCAGGAGAAGGCCGTAGATGGTTTTACCATGCCTCCTCTTTTTCAGTTCCTAACTGTATTGGCATTCAAGATTTTTGTATGTGAGAAGGTATCCTGTTATTTTTATCAGTAAATCTTATGATATGCATTTTTTTTTTGAAGAACTGTGATGGACTTTGCATTTCTTCAATAAATCTGTCTAAATCAAACTAGTGTCAGTCCATGCTCCTTAAGAATCGTTATGCATGGAATTGGCCTTTTAAAGGACCAAAATGGTAATACTGGTCGGTATATATCACTTGTAACTGGCCGCACCTTTCTGCCATAAAGAAATCTTCAGTGTGTTGTCACCGAAATTTCTTGTTTCGGAAAGGCGTATAGGTGACAGGTATTGAAATCTCTTATCAGAATACTGACTGCTGTTATTTCTGATAGGTGGATGTTGCTGTTATTGAAGTAGGTCTTGGCGGAAAACTGGATGCGACAAATGTGGTATGCATCTTTGATTTTTTTTGAGCAGCTAAAGTTCACCGAATTTCATCGGAATGGCTTCTGGATTAAGTTTCCAAATGATAAAAACTCTAGAAAAGTATTTATCATGCCTTATGTATATTTTTCTCATTTTTTCTGGTCTTATGCTAAACACGAGAAATTAAAGCCGGGAATGTAAAATACAGATTCAAGAACCGATTGTCTGTGGAATTACTTCCCTTGGAATGGATCATATGGAGACATTGGGCATGTGATCTGATCTCTGACTTGTTTCATTGGAGTCGGGTTTCCTTTCTTTTCTCCTGATTCTTTCATTTGGTATAACACTGTCTTTGTTGCAAATTCAACACAGGACATACACTAGCTGAGATTGCTTCTCACAAGGCAGGAATTTTCAAGGTATAGAACTCTGGCTTTTAAGTTATCCCCATATTGTCAAAGCTTTCTGTGATCAACTTCATGTTTGAAATATTCTGACTCGATTTGGTTTCTTTTCTTGCTGATAAAAGCCTCAAATCCCCGCCTTCACAGTACCACAACTCTCTGAAGCAATGGAGGTTCTTCAAGAAACAGCTAAATACCTGAAGGTAACTATTATTTCTTGATGTTAATTATTTCATCCCAGTTTACTCATCCCAAATATGCTACACAAAAGAAAAAGCTCAACTTTCTAGAAATTATCATGTTAATTGGACATGTTTTTAACCATTCTTTATGCATGTTCTCATTGGCATAGCACAATGGTAATGCATTAGATAGATGCTCAGATCTGATCAGTTCTGAGAAATTTTTAAGCAGAGAAGAGAACAGTCCCATTCCTTCGCGAAATGTTACAATCATTTCCGTTTATTTTCCTCATTGTCCAGTACAGATGACACAAATTGGTATTCTGATCTGTTACGTGTCCATGGACTTATTCTCGTAGAACTGAGCTAAAAATACACTGAGTGATATTTGCTCTGATTTAATTACAGGCCCCTCTAAAAGTAGCTGCACCTCTTGACATTAAAAAGTTAGAGGGAGTTGCCCTCGGTTTGTCTGGTGATCATCAGCTTGTAAACGCGGGACTTGCTGTCTCTCTTTCCAGGTGTTGGCTTCAGAGGACCGGAAACTGGGAGAAGATCTCTCCAAATGTCGGTTTGCATTTCCTAACTCTTTTGTTGCTTGGTCGCTTAATGCTTCTTTAAACCTTTATACTGCAGTTTTACACTCGAAATCTATGCAACTCTTGACAGATGGTCTGAATTTGCCCAGCAGTGCATTTCTTCAATAGTAAACTGTTAAAAGTGTTAACTAATGCTTCTTAATAGATGGTCTGAATAATCATTTATTTCCCTCGGGAATCAATTGACAGGGAAGTTACGAAGATGAGATTCCCGAGGCATTTCGTCGAGGTCTTGAAATGGCACAGCTACGTGGAAGAGCTCAGGTTGTTCATGACATAGTTTCAGATCGTGATGACTCATCAGCCACGAAGGAAAGTCCATGTGGGGACCTGATCTTTTACTTGGATGGAGCCCATAGTCCCGAGAGCATGGAGGCCTGTGGCCGATGGTTCTCTGCTTCTGTCAAAGGAAATAAACGTCTGTCTCCTCCGCCATTGTCTTCTTTCGAAGGTGTCAATGGTTACATCAAACACGACGAGTTTGGTAGAGACTCCAACAGAGTTTCGAAACAGGTATGTTCAAGATAAAGGACATAGCTCAATGCATTTGTGAACAACTCTTTTCCTTTCTCTGTTCATGGCTTGTGAAGGATATGTGTACATATATATATCCCCTCATGTTTCGTATAGTTTTGAAGAGGTTGTATATGTTTACGGATTCTTCGGTCATGGTGTTCTCCTGCCTTGATAGATTCTTCTGTTCAACTGCATGGAAGTGAGAGACCCTCAAATTTTACTTCCAAGGCTCATCAACACTTGTGCTTCCTCAGGTATTTGCTTGCTCGAGAACAAATATACACCGTTTTCACCTTTACTTTTTGAACACTTACGTGTATTGGCATGGATAAAATGTTCTCTCAGGCACTCATTTCTCCAGAGCCCTTTTCGTCCCGAGCTTGTCCACTTACAACAAGGTGATTTCGGGTGCATCAACCATCCCTTCAGATTCACTTAGAAAGGATTTGGCATGGCAATTCATGCTACAAAGACTTTGGGAGAGATTAATCCACGGAACAGGTACGCTTAAATTTGCTTCTTGCTGCTCATCGTTACCTCACTGTTACGTCCTTACCCGAGCCTTTTTACTCACCATCAACATATTTTTTTTTTGTCTTGCCATTAACCGAGATGACATTATTTTTTTGCTTAGACCGTCAAGCAGATGCTGCACTAGATGGAATACCAACCTTACCACCGCCCGAATTCCTCTATGGAGACACTTCTCATTGCAGTCCTTCACAGAAACCTGTCTTGTGCAGTGCGGTGATGCCTTCACTTCCATTGACCATAAATTGGCTCAGAGACTGTGTCCGGAAAAACCCTTCTCTGAAACTGGAGGTAAGCAAGCAGCAAAGCATTTATATGCATGCATATACTCTTGGTTAAGAACTTAAGGCACAAGATCTCAGACATTCAGGCCAAAAAGCTAACTCAGATGTGTTCTGTAAATTCGTCGTTGAACTTCTGTAACAGGTTCTGGTGACGGGTTCGCTTCATCTTGTCGGCGACGTTCTCAGGCTGCTAAAGAGATGATTTTACCTACTCAAGATACTGTCAAAGATCAATCAGTTCACAGAGATATCAACATCCTTGTGATAATTTGGCTTAACTCAGTTCTTCTGCTGTTGTAACTGTCTCTTGCTGCATTATTTCTGTCCGAATGATTATCAATATCGATTTCCTATTTTCTAGGAAAGGGGATGATGCGCGTAGAATCGACCAAATCCATAGGTTAGGTAACATAGAAGTATTTGCAGAAACCTGTTTTACGGAGTGGAACGATACGGAGGTTTTCCGGCGAAATTTCTGGTGTCAGAAACAGCCGAATGTTCCGAAGGTGACACCATCTGATGGGAAATTGTGATAGCTCTAATTAGGTCCAAGAATCATTGAATATGACCGAGTAGATTGAGAGAACGGATGGAATTAGTGCAGGTATGCCAAATTTCTCGACAGTTACGTGAACCTTGACCACGGTCAACGTCTGCATTCTTCGTCCGTGGACAGCGACGTTTGGTCACGAGCGGTCATGTTAGAGGATCGAGAGTACGTGTGTGCGGGTGTGTGTAATGATGGCATGTTTATCAATGTGTAAATGATTTTTTTTTTTTTATCAAATGAAAATTTCAAAAAATTTGGTAACTTTTATATTCGGGATTTTTTTAGATAACACCAGATGGGTTGTTAAATCCCATGATCAATGACTAAACAATAGAGAAAAATAACATCCAACCAAATTATATGAATCATTTAAATTATTTTCTAATAAAAAGGGAAAGTAGTTGGACCAACAAATGAAATGGAAAGAGAAAATACGGACACTCAAATTGCAATGGACATTAGTTCTTTACTTTTAAGTGGATGGAAAACAGATAACGATGACGTAGTTCGGCCATTACTCATTCAGCTAATGGCCTGTCCCAAGTGGATAACACTCAAATCGCAAGGCACATTGGTACATACATTTTATTATTATTATTATTATTAACAAAAATATCCAAATAATATTACTGGCTCCCAATTAATATTAGGATTTTATTTGACCTTTTCCTTTATTTATTTATATATATGTTGATTATTTTGATATGATTTTCATCTTTTTTTTTTTCAAATTACTAATCATAGCTCACCACTAGTCTACTTGCACATATATACAAAGGCCTTCTTTGCGTATCCTCTTTTTTTTTTTGCTACCACTATTCTTAAATTAATATGCTTTCTAGTACTCAACTTTTAATTAAGAAATTCGTCTCAAATCCAATTACAAAATACCCTAACTTTTCAACATTTTGTATACTTGTAAATTCTAATAATATATTTATCAACGATACCACGAGTAAAACAACAAATAAACCATAAATTTATATTAAAATTTTAAATCTATTTTAATTTCAAATTAAAATTAAATTTATATTAAATATTATATATATTGTAGCATTGATTCCACGAGTAAGATAACAAATAAACCATAAGTTCGTATAAAAATTTCAAATCTATTAGAGTTTGTACCTAAATTTATAAATTTGCATTAATGTAAAAAGAAAATACTCTAGTATTTAATAAATTTATACTTTTGCATATGTTGTTGTTGAGTCATGTATAACGAGAAAAGTGTCGTCTACTCCCCGGTGCCCACCTACCTGCCTTCTTCCTTGAGACCCACCATTTTAATCGACATGCGGTCCTATTTATACCTCGTGTTCATATCCCTTGCGATGGACAAAATTGTGCCGAATAAAACGTTTGGGTCAATTTTGTAAATCCCAGAAAATAGTGGGGGAGAGTGTCTTTGACATTCGCTTCTCATTTGTGTTCGCTGCAATGGTGGGCGATGGCCAGAGACCAACTCAAGCTCCTCCAAGTATGTTCTCACAGTTTTTTATATATATATAATAAACACACATAAACATGCGTGTGTATGTATATATGTATGTACGTATAAATCTATATATATATATGCATGTATGTATCTTACATATGCTCTCTCCGATGTTTTTACTCGTCGGATTCCGTCCGAGGTAAGTTTTTTTTTTGTTACAATAATAGCTTGGGATTTCAAATAAATTATTTGGAGTATGATATTAGATATGAACAAATGTAGAGTTCGAAATTAATTCAGATTTTTTTATTTTATAAAATGGTTAATTTACGTAAATCCGGATTTCTTTTGTTCTTTTTTTCTGCGTAAATGTTTTTCTTCTTATACTAGAAGAACATGATAGATTCATGCATATATACTTTGATTTTGTCCGTTAGTGGAATAAATAAATACATACATACATGCGTACATATATACGTACGTACATACATACATACATAGCAACACATGCATGCCATGTATTGCAATTAATAGGGTTTTGAGCACGTGTTTTTTGGCAGGGTTGGAGCTGTCGCGGCTATGGTCAGAAAACCCTTGAGATGTAACCCGACAAGGATTCAATCCAACGGTGGAGAATCACTCACGGCAAAACTAGAAGAAAACATTACTATAGATATTACCAAACAGGGGCATTCACCAATCTAAAGCTGCATGTTTGAGACCGAAATCTCTAATCTTCTTCTTCCCGATCATTATCCAAGCGTTTTCATAGTGTATCAATGCATATATATGTATATGTGTATGTATATATATGTCATCTAGACAAACATAATAGCATAATGTGCTGAAACGATTCGAATTTATCAAAATGTTCACTTGCTACTACTGCAAGGGAAGTTGAATGTGGGCAAAACAATTTGAGTCATCATCACCATAGACATGACAGCTATCATCTATATATATATAATATATATATATTCTCACTCATACCTACTGCCAAACTATATCATCTTCTGCTTAGAATACTCTCTGTCATTCAGAAGGTCTCTGTCCAGAACCGGCTGTTGGAATGGTTCTGAAAGCTGCCTCTCCTCCTCCCTCTTCCGTTCCTCCGGCGGCAATCCTCCACATTGTCTTCCCTGTGAACTCTCCAGGACTTGTGCCCGTCTTTCCCCCACCACCCCTCCTGCCCTTCTGCTCTCTTCCTCCTCCCCCCATCTCCGCTGTTCACGTTCCTGCGATGGGAGTTGCTGCTGTTCGTATGATCCCATGATTCGGTTTTCCCTTTTCCCCAAGAATCGTCCTTCCACCTGTCATGATTCTGATCGCATGAATCGGTCTTCCCTTTTCCCCAAGAATCATCATTCCATCCATTGTCGTTCTGATCCCATGAATCGGCTTTCCCTTTTCCCCAAGAATCGTCATTCCATCCATCGTGATTCTGATCCCATGAACCGGTTTTCCCTCCTCTCCACGAATCGTCATTCCACCCATCGTGATTCTGATCCCATGAATCGGTTTTCCCTCCTCTCCAAGTATCGTCATTCCATCCATCGTGATTCTGACCCCACGAGCTTTCTGGTATGCCCGTGTTCCAACCATGATGGCCTGTTTGTTGTTCAGTGTCAACAGTCTTGTTAATGCCCTCAGCATCTTCATCTCCCCATCCGGTTCCCCACCCAAGTGTATACTGATCACGCAGAAGAGAAGTGTCCAGAATCACAACATGTTCTCCTTCTGTTGTTTCCCCGGCAGGGTTTGTGTCATGTTCCAAGTCCAGAATAAGCTCGGGGTCAACTTCTGCATTCCAGTCGACATCATCAATGTAGATGTCTGGATCAGGCAACGAGATGTCGCAAGGAAGGCCATTGATCTCGGCCCAGAACCGGGCTTTAGCGTTCTTGAAGGCCTCTTCACCCGCTGAGTCGTTCCACTTCGCCACGTTTTCGTAAAGGTACATTGACTGCTTTGCTTCCAGCACCTTCCCCCACGGGACCAGCCCAACCGTGGAGCAGAAGTTCTTCTCCCATGCCGGAACAGATCGTTTCCAGTTAGCTGAAGAAAAACATGAAGGATTATAATCAAGATTTGAAGCCAAGTTCAATCACAGAATAACTTACTGCTCAAGAAACCCGAGATGAGAGAACTGTACAAAATAAACGCAGGATCAAAACAAATCAGCCTTAAAACCCGGGAATCAACCTCCATTCTCCAAGCCAGTACCTAAGAATCATATAATTGATATGTTCCATTACCATGACTTTCATGGACTAATGATTGCTTAGTGTTCCTGCTCATCATCAACCTCCAACATGTGAAAAAGATCAAGTATTTCTGAATCCTGTTCATCTATTTACACTGCACATTGACTAATCAAGAACAAGCAAGAATCTTCCAACCAAACAAGGATACAGAGAAGGGAAATTCAATCGAGAGGGGACAAAAATCAAAATGCTTTCATATTAGTTCTGAAATTCACATTGACAATCTCGACAAGCGGCATTGACGAGCAGACATGAACCCTAGAAACAGTGTATAAACAGAGAAATCTTAGATCAAACTGAAAAATACGAAAACCAGGGCGGGGGGAAAAAGCACCCGGAAAACCCATTACAGAATCGACAATTTTTAACGAGAATCTAAGGCGAACGAGAACAAAATCAATAAAAAAAATCCGAAACATGTTCACCATGAATAATTAAAAGCCAAGTGAAAAAGGGAACAGAGAGAACAGAACATACAAAGAGGCGGCTTTGATCGTGTCCCTTGCTGTTGCATAATCTCTGGCTGATTGTAATTGCTTCTTCCCCGTTGTCTTCTCCAATTACCCATTATAGCCAGACAACACGAAGAACAACAACCCAAAGGAAGAACCCCAGAAACGACAGCGATAGGACTTCCGAAACAACAAAGAAACAGAAATCCCTAGATTTCACGAGAGGGCAAAGTCCACGATTCCAGAAAGAGAGAGAGAGAGACGCGTTTCCTTCTGGGCTCGTTGATCAGAGATAGAAATTATTTCTTGCCCGATTGGGACACGAGCAAAGCGAAGAACAGAGAATTCCAAGGAGTTAAATTTTTTTCTCTCTGTCAATTTCCTGGGGAAAAAAAAGCCTTTTAAGGTTTGTTTTTTTCCTTTTCCGAGAGGGAGTAGGGTGTACTTGTCATGTCGGTGTCAAACTTATTATTATAATTATAAATCAAATGCCCGTATTATGTGTAGGAAACATGGGCTCCCCTCCAATTTCAATTTCAATTTCAATTTCAAATATAGTGATGGAAGGCATTGTATGTAGCACGATATATTTTCTTGAAATATTTTGGGAGGGTTTTTACTAATTCTCAAAATAAAAATCCATTCATATTTGAAGTGGTTATTGTCATTGAAATAAATACAAATAATATATGAATGAGAAATAATTAACTTAAAAATTTTAAAAAAAATCAAGCGAAAACGACTAAGACTATATAGGGTTTTCTTTTTTAACAGAATTAACGGAATTACAAATTTACAAATGCGCGCGAACTAGATATCCGAATTTTTACAATACCATTTTTGACCTCGTAGTTTTAAGTATTTCAATCCGCTTATCCGATTTTACCTTTATAAATATTAGATATCTAAGTTTCGGATGTCCACAAAGTGGCGGGAATGAACTAATAAGGAAAGGAAGAACGAATCGATGGCAAGAAGAAGTGTAGAAATGGATAATTACTAGTTAAATCTGGATTTGAATTCGAAATTTGTTTCATCGGTGATCAAAATGCTCAAAATTTTGGATACTCAATTCATGAATCGGACATATACGCGAAATTTAGGATTCCAAATATCAAACAAACATGACCATCTTCTTGATGAGAAGAATGTTCACATTGAGTATTAAAATCTACACAAAAAGAATCTTCGTCTCAAAATATTGTAAACAGACTCTGATATCAATTGATATAGTTTGAGTTCTAACCGATATTATATAAAAAAATACCTTTGCTTTGTAATTTTTATTTCAACATATACTCTTCTCCACCTGTGATCATATGACCCAAAATATAGTGTAGTCACATTTTGATTTTATTGATTATAAAGTTAAATTTATGGTGATCACACTAATTTATTATGTTCATGGTTTGTATATCTTACTAATCATTTGATTAAAATATCATAAATTTAACGTTATAAACAATGGAATCAACATGTGATCACACTATATTTTGGGTCACATGAATCACATGGTCACAGTTGAAGAATATGTGTGCAGTTAATTTTAATTTTATCAAACATTTGGGGTATGAACGAAGCCAAAAACAGAGAAATCTAAGGTTTTTTATTTTTATTTTTATTTTTAATTTTAATATTATTAGAAAAAAGTCTTTTAGGTTTTTTTTCTTCCTTTTTTCGGAAATAGAATGAGATTGTACTTGCCATGTTTTCCCCCTAAAGTAGTCGCCATTAAATTTATTATAACTTATTATAGTAATAATTATAATTGTTATGTCATGTTTTTCCACTATACCCTGAAAGCTATATACTCTTAACTACAATGCTAATTTTGCTAATGATGAGCCAAAATATAGAAAAATTTTGTAATTCAAAGTCATTTCTTCAAGAAATCTGTTCGTTGATTCTTATTTCTTTATATAGGTAAACTCTAGTAAACCAGTCATTTAGTTTCTATAAAATTTAGGATACCATATACTTTTTTATTTTCTATAAAAAAATATTAATTTTTCCAAGAAAAAAATTCAAGTATTAAAATGTAATTTATGAGGAAATCTCTATTTTTTTTTCTAACACTAAAAGTCCAAATTCATTAAAAAAAAATTCTGGTTATTTATGCCAAATTTAATATATTAGGTTTAAAGTCATTCTGTTTTACAAAATAAAAACCTATAATTAAAAAAATATGTAACCATAATCTTGATACATTCAACCTCTAATTACTAAACGAGATAATCTTTTTTTTTTTACTTGTATAAATTAAGTAGGGCCAATTCAAGTGATCGGTTAAAAGAGTAAAGAAAAATAAGGAGTGTTTGAACGATTCCTCAGTAACTCAGATTTGTGAAAGTGATGAGAGTCGGAAACTTGTGTCTGTCTGTCTATCTCTGTGTGTGTGTTCGAGAGAGAGAGAGAGAGAGAGCCTCATGGATGATTATCAAATCACAACAGCAGTTCTTGCCTGTTCATAAGTACAGTCTGAATCCTTGCACACTTCTTCTGTGATCAGTTACTGTGTTCGGTTTGTGTGTGTGTGTATATATATGTGTGTGTGCGTATATGTGTTTGTACAGGTAAAGATTATGTTTCTGAGGTCCTCTGTTTTGTCTGTCCCCGCAGTGTTACATCGTTTATTCTCCTGCAGTGAAAAGACAACATGATTAAAATCTAAAATTTTTCACGTAAATCCTCGGATTTTAATCGAACCCATTTTGGAAATCTGGATGATCTTCAATGGGTCTTCTCTAGATTTTCGTTCTCTTGATCATTCAATCAGGTTCTTATTTCTGTCGTCGAACGAGTCTTCTGCAGTTTCCTTCAGAGGCATGGCATGAATCAAGAATAAAACACATCCGTTTCTTTCTTTGATGAATGATCAGATAGATTTTCCTCGAAATCGAGTTTCCGGGATTTTCCTCCATGAATTTGTATTAATATCAGCATTAAAAAAAATTCTTATACGTAAAGCCATAACCATGAGTGAGTGAACTCAATCATTCTCACTAGATGCATTGTCTCCAATGTATCTTCAACATCCCTTTGGCTTTGTTTTTCACAGAGTTGAGTGTTCGAAAGAGGAGGTAGAAGAAGAAAGAGTGATTTTCACAAACTCGATCTTATATAAAGCACGTAATGGCAAAGAGGAGATCGTGGTTCAGTTGGATGAGAAGGCTCTTCGTTTGCAAGTCGGCTGCGAGACCAGACAACAAGGTTCTGTCCATTTTCTTGGATCCATCGTCGTGTTTTAGGTTGACCATCTCGTGTGAACTCATTCGCTTTTTTCTCTCGATGAAATCTGTTAGAAGCCGAGGAAACAGAGACATGTATTCAGGAGGATGAGGCCGAGACAACAACCTGCAACTGCAGTGGTACCTACAAGGCAAGAGACGAGAATGTTGGATGAAGCGGTGGAGGAGCAGAGAAAGCATGCCTTAAACGTGGCCATTGCAACGGCCGAAGCCA